ATAAATATTCCACAAGATCATGTGACACTGAAGACTGCAGTAATGATGCTGAAAATACATCTTTTATCACATTTTAAAATATATTCACACAGAAAACAGTCAATTGAAATCGCAATAATATTTCACAATTTTACTGTTTTAATAAATGAAGCCTTGGTGAGCAGAAGAGTTTTCTTTCAAAAACTTGTTATTGACCCCAAACTTCTGTACAGTAGAATATAAATAATTATATATAATATGTAAATTATATTAAACATTGTAGTATATTAATGTATGCATATTTAAAATTATTCTATGCATTTATAATAATCTTGAATTAAGCTTTTCCACTGAATGCATTACAAACATACTTTGTTTCTAATAATAAACAACACAGCAGCAATACAAATTATTTACAGTATATATAAACTTATTTTGCCATTCTAAAGTAGGCAGTTTCATGCAAAAGTCAGTTTTTTTGTATACCAAATGATTTACCCAATGTTTGCCATTGCTAAAGTGAAGCTCACCGCTGATTGGTGAACCTTCTTTAGTGACATACAGCTTTGACTCTTAAGCTATCATGCCACAAGACATCAATCGCCTCCAGTTCAGCTTCTCGTTTTTCTTTTTAGCACAAGAGCATATTGAGGTCACTAAAGCAGCTAGATGGGGCTTATTCAGGCCAATAAAAAAGCATCCACATACACACACACATACTGAAATAGTGCTGCTAAAGTGAATGTTAATTTGGTGGCATAAAGACACAGCTGGTACTGCGAGACGTGAACATTGTGTCACATTTCAGCAGCGAGCACGCACAGAAAGAGCTCTCAGCCTGAGCCCTGTTTAAATATGAGTAAGCGCTATTGAAAAGGCTATTGATCTGCCTATGATTAGCAGTCCATTCATGGCCTTTGCTGTGGCTGTTGGCCCTCGCTCCCTTATTGACTCGCCGTGATGGACTGACTTCGGCCCATTCAAGAGAAGCCCGTTCACAGTGGCCGACTGAGATAAGATTGAAACTTCACTGCTGTTTCAGGGCTTTCGGTTGATAAGATTGTTTGGAGGTTTCTAATGAAAGCAAGAGTCACTCATCAATAGAAAGTAAAACTTGGGAGTCCACAGTAGATTGAGGATATACTTTAAGACAAAGTATTACAAATCTGAGCATTTGGTGCTGAGTTTAGATCATGCAACAGATCTTGTGCACTAAAGTGAATGCACTAATGCTTTTTAACATTTATTTGCTCTGGAATGCACTGATGCATCGGCTCGGTTTCAAAACCTGGCAATGTGCAAAATGTGCAGCATTAGTTAGTTGCATTAGGTATAATGACCTAAAAATGAACAACATTTTTGCATTATTTATTAAACTAGACTAAAAATGCATTATTTTTAAGTGTTAATTCAAGTTTGTTCGAATAAATTAGCTAATGTTAATTTAGTACATTAAGTAAGATTTGTTTGGACAATCGTTTACTTTATTGAAAATCACTGGATAAAATATTTAAAAAAGAAACAATATTGTTTTCTTGTTTCTTTTCATTTGTCCAGTGATTTTTAATAAAAGAAGGGTTTGTTTATTTGAACATTTTACAACCTGGATATTTTAGAAAAAATAATTAACACAGATTAAACAAGATTAATAATTGTTGTAAAAGAATTGTTCATTATTTAATGTTAACTGCTGAATTAATGAATGTTAACATATTGAATCTTATTGTAAATAATTATAGTAACACTTCAGATTAGGGAACACTCACTATCAACTAACACTTTTGTCTCAATAAACTCCTAATTTGCTGCTTATTAATAGTTAGTAGGGTAGTTGTTAAGTTTAGGTATGGGGTAGATTAAGGGATCTAATATATGGTCATGCAGAATAAGGCATTTATACATGCTTTATAAGTACTAAGAAAAAGCCAATATGCTAGTAATATACAAGCTAATAAGCAACTAGTTAATAGTGAGAACTGGTCCTTAAAGGAACACTCCACTATTTTTGAAAATAGGCTAATTTTCCGACTCCCCTAGAGTTAAACAGTTGAGTTTTACCGTTTTCGAATCCATTCAGCCGATCTCCGGGTCTGGCGGTAGCACTTTTAGCTGTAGCTTAGCATAGATCATTGAATCTGATTAGACCGTTAGCATCTCGCTCAAAAATGACCAAAGAGTTTCTATATTTTTCCTATTTAAAACTTGACTCTTCTGTAGTTACATCGTGTACTAAGACCGACGGAAAATGAAAAGTTGCGATTTCAGGAACTGCGTAATATCATTGTGCCTGCTGCACACATGGTACGGCAGCAAAGTTCCTTGATTATTAAGCCGGAATGAGAGTATAGTTCCTAGCCACATCGGCCTAGAAAATCACAACTTTTCATTTTCCGTCAGTCTTAGTACACGATGTAACTACAGAAGAGTCGAGTTTTAAATAGGAAAAATATAGAAACTCTTTGGTCATTTTTGAGCGAGATGCTAACGGTCTAATCAGATTCAATGATCTATGCTAAGCTACAGCTAAAAGTGCTACCACCAGACCCGGAGATCGGCTGAATGGATTGGAAAAACGGTAAAACTCAACTGTTTAACTCTAGGGGAGCCTATGAGCCTATGAACTCTAAAATTTTCTAAAATGTAAAACTCATTTTTCCCCAGACACGTCCTGGCTAGGATTTCTATATGGTCTAAAATATCCAGGTTTTGGCTTTGTTTTCCTGTTTTCATACTTGCTGAAGGTAATGATCGAAAAGGAGTTTGACCAATAACATGCAGGCATTGTACATAACCGACCAATCGTGGCGCGTGAGAAGGTGGGATCCACAGAGAACAAAATCTAATGCAGCACTGAATGCATCCTTTACAGAGAAGGCAAACACAGAATGCATTTTGAAATAATTATTGCAAATATATAAATATGATTATTTCAATTAACTGAAATAGACTATATGACTTAATACTTGTGTGTACAGTTTTTAGAGTGTTGCATCAGTACCTTTATAACTTCATATCATCATAACTCTATTAAAATCAATTGTGCATCCAGTTTCCCGTTTGCTTCATGTGAGACACTATGTATAACACACATTTGTGCTCCATTTCAGTTAGGACTTATCTAGATGGTAGACAGCAATGCAGTGCACTAGGTTGTAGAAAATAGGCCTAGAATTAGACAATGTGAAGAAAGTTTGCAGACTGAACATGCACTTCACTGTGCCCTAACATGTCTTGTATTCTGTGTATATTGTTTATAGTCTAAACTTTTGTATTATTGTATTTGTACTACATATATGGCACTGTTGATATGTGATACACAAAACGATCTTTCTATATATTGTGCTGGGAACGTTAATGCTGAATCAATGCCAGGACCTGTAGAGAAACATAACTTCATTCTCCCATATCTGGGCTGAATGACAATAAAATGAACTTGAACGTGCATGTATTTGCAAATATCCCTGCAAAAGAACTTAACTTTAATAGCTAATAATACTATAATATAGTTCCAATATTACTCAAATTAAAACAGTATTATTATTAAAAAGGCATAAGCTGAAGAATTAAGAAACAATCATATGCAATGCAGTATAAAGCCAAGATACCTAGGTCTTCTGTGAGTTGCTAAAACAGTGCATGTAAGTGTGCCCAGAGACGAATCGAGCATTTGCCAAGCCATCAGCCTGTTATATACAGCATCACAGATGACGCGCACTGTGCTAGATAAAACTCAACAAACAGCAATCTGAGCAGATATGTCGTATTTCTGAAGATGATTAAACTTGTTATGCAACACAGTGTTCAGTTATAAAACTTTCAAGTCATGCATATGCAAAAAAAAAAAGAAAAAAAAAAAGCTTTTTGCAGAAAGTTGAGAGGTAAGAATCAAATAAACGCAGCTGAGGGTAAATAAGAGGGGCTTTCAACAGTGCAGACAGATACCAGAAAGAAGAATGATAGAGCTGGATGCACAAACAAAACCAGAACTGAGCTGAATCTTAAAATCTGCTCGATTCAAGCCATTATCTTAAAGGTGACTTTGTGATAAGACTAAAAATGTGACTCGTGAGCATATGATCGACTGAAACCATCACCAGCTGCAAGAGTTTTTCAAACAGCTCAAGTCACATCTGATGATACTGTTTCACATTACACAGAATAGCCAGACAGCTGCAGAAGCAAATTCAGTTTTTACAAAAAGGCAGACATTTGCAAGTAGTTGCTGAAAAACAGCCCAAATAATGCTTATATTGACCTCATGAGATGGTTAGACAACACTTCTGACTGAATATCACACTTTATTTTTGCACCCTATTCATAGGAAGCGACATGCCAGTGTGTAAAACTACACATATTTGTATTCCCACAGCACTTTTTTAGCAATGCAGACATTTTATTCTGGTTTTTATTCTTGACCTCATTATGGAAATGTTCCATCTAGAGGTCAGGAGAGCATCTGAAACCACCTTTCAGCCTCAAACCAGCTTTACAATCAATATCCCTGATTCTCCAGCAGATCCACAATAGGAATTAATGTAGCTAGGATTCTTAATTTATTATAGCATTTATTATTTAATAAAACCCAAGTCAACTGCACACTAGAAAGCCATTCAAAACTAGAGCAAAACCAACAGTTATCAGTTTTTATAAATGCAGTTATCACTCGGGGCCTGTGTTTAAAGCTATATACAAGATAAGACTGACAGACAGTGGTCATTTAGAAAATAATTTCCCTTCATTAAGTGCGTATAAGCTAAAATGCATCAACTACATGACTAATAACCTCATGGCTGTGTTGCCCAAAAATGCTGCTACAGTATGAAACCAGCTCACTAGGTTTGAGACACAGCCCAAGCCCTCACACTGTGTTCCGGCTCATCAGACAGAAACACACGAGCACACTTACAAAACAACTGACACACATCTCAACTCAAACTACACACATAGCCTGACAGGCTCTGATGTTCCCTCGTCGATATCTGATCTGAGACTAGAAGGTTCAGCAGATCGAGGAGTTTTACCTCAGATGCTCGGAGGACTGTTTCCGTCGCTCCTGAGGAACATTAAACTTCCCAGCGCCGCTCTTCGTCTCAATGTGAGCTCAGGTCTGGCGGTGTGTGAGATCAGCAGCATAGAAAACACGCCGTATTTCTCCTTAAAATCACTTTATCCCCGGCGAGCGTGAAAACAAGCCACTCTGAGCTCCATCACTGCGAGATTCATCCGCGAGGAAAGCAACACAAACACTGAGAGGGAGGTAGGTGTGTGTGTGTGTGTGAGAGAGAGAGAGAGAGTGTGTGTGTGTGTGTGTGTGTGTGAGAGAGAGAGAGAGAGAGAGAGAGAGAGAGAGAGAGCGCGATCGAGATCAGCACCACGGACAGCGACCCCATTCATTCCGTTTAGACGTTTAGCAAGTAAATAAAACATGAGTAAAAAAAAAATCTACTTTTTTATCTTTATTCTTTTTTAATCTCCAAAAGCTTGCTAATAATATACTTTTTAATGGAATAGTTTACTCAAAAATTACAATTTGTTGTCTTAAAATTCGTATGATTTTTCGTTCTTCAGTGGAACGCAAAAGATGTTTTGAAAAATGTTTACACTGCTTTTTTTTTCTAAACAAATAGTTATATAATAATTAGAATAGCAATTTATGCTTCCAAACTCCAAAAGGCTTAAAAAAACAATAGTTGACTTTTTGTTATTAGTAGTAGTAGTACTAGTAGATATTACTGCTGTTGCTGTCCAGGCTGGACTATTATTGTAATATAATCTATTTCACATGAATTCTTTCCTAAATGACAAGTAAACACAAAACAAACTATGGCTGACGTTAAAAAGTCAAATATTATATTTCCTTAAACCTGTAAAAGAAAAGAAAACAAATGTCTAAACTTGCCTCTCAATGGCACATAAAAGCAAAAACTGTGGTCGGTCACTTTTACATGTCAATAATATGGTGTCTTCCTGTCTAAGTGAGTGGTTCTGGGCCAAAGTGATCTGCAATGTGTTCCAAACCTTATGCTGATATTCAAAACCCATGACAGAAAGAACAGGAGGGACTACAGGACAGAAGCTGGAGCATTTTAATGCTTGTACATGTCAAGCTTGAATTAAACTGTTACACATGGGACAGAAGACCGTGCACACACTCTTTTTGACAGACTCACTTAACATATTGATAATAGTTTGTTCTGTATATTTAACAGGTCTAGAGTAGAGTGGAACCGGAAAACACTCTGTTTCGTCTTTATTTACCTGCAGAAGCGTGTGACACATATGCGGAAGTCTTCTGGGAGCAGATGTTGGGAATAATATGTCAGCCATGATCTGAGGAGGTGACTGTAGCATTTGACTCATTTGAAGTGATTCAGTGAAGGGATGCTTGATGCATCTGGATGCAGTTATTATATACAGAGTGAACTGGGTTAAAGTAGGTGTCTAAATTAAGTACACAAACAAATCTGAACAACTATATCAGTTTATTTCCAGAGATCCTGGAATATTGCAGACATGTACCACCAACATGATACTTTTTTGAAATGTCTTTCCATCATTAAGTGTCATGTTAGATTTCCTATTCGTATTGTGCAACACTTCTACTCTGTAACTAAAGTAAAAAGAGTATGATTGCGTTGTCATTTAAGGATATTTATGTACATATTCACTGACTTCTTTACGCACTCGGGGTTCAGTCTTTCCCCAGTTTGATGCTGAACAAAATGTTTCCCATCTGACCCAAATAAATGAAACTTGCTCTCATCACTAAAGTGAACTTTGGACCAGTTCTTCTCTCTCCACACAGCATGCTCCTCAGCAAAGGTGAGCTTAGCCTTTAGATTCTTTCTGCTGATGAGAGGTTTGGTCACTGCAGAGTGTGCTTTCAGTCCGGCTTCTCTTAATCGTGCCAAGACAGATCCTTACCCTGTTCTGCGCTGAACTGGCGAGCAATTCCAGCTGCAGTGCTGAACCGATTCCCCATTGAGCGTCTCCGCATTATCCTGTCTTCTCGTGCATTTCTCTTACAAGGATGACCAGCCTTTTCGGGGGACTTGAATGGATTAGTGTTATTGTAAAGCTGCAGTATTCGTGAAATCACAGATTTAGAATGACCAGCTTCTTCTCTTGCAGTGGCTGAAAGGGTCATCATCTGGACCGCGTCCTGTTGCAGAGTTTCAGTCACCTTAGAGCGGCCCGCCATCTTGCAATCTCGGTGAAAATGAGAGAAATGCTTCTAGTTAAATAGGGTTTGTCATATAATTAAGGAAATTAGCACCAGATGCCAGATTAACACCTATAAATTTGTAGGTATCAGTAAGTGTTCTCTAATTTTGATCAGAGTTCTTTTTCAAATATCTAATTTAAGTTTTTTCTACTGTGCTTCAGAACACAATTAATTTAAGAAATATGCTTAAAAAACTGCCCTTTTACTAGTTAGGATAACTTCAAATAGGACTAAGCAGTGACCTCGAAATTTAGGAAATTGTAGGTTGTTCTCTAATTTTGATCTCATAATATGCCATCAAATTATCCAGTTAAGGACATTTGCTGTGTATGGAGAGATTCAATATTTGTGAAATTGAACACATGTATGTCTGCTCCTCTTCTATCATCATGAAGAATTTTGGAGAAGCGTTTAGCCCCGAGCTGCCAATAGGAATCTGACACTGCAGTCTACAGCTAGATGCTTTGGATTAAAAGTCTAACAAGCGGTACATTTTTGCATACTTATCCTTTAGACTCCCTTCTCTGCAGAAGCTAATGGGATGAAGCAAGATTCAATCCGAACCTTTCCGTTTGATCCCACCTCAAACACATTAAATCCAAATGCCAGCTCTGTCCTGAACCCCAGTCTCACTTCCACTCTAGTCTGGATTATCCTGAAGTGACCTGAAACTTCTCATATATGAATGTATTTACGTAATAGCATTAACTATGTATCTCTTTTTTGGTGAAGGAGATTATTAAAGTGATGGACATTGGGCTACTGTTCAGATTATATACACTACCGTTAATGATAAAGAGAACTTAATACTTATATTTAGTGAGGATTCATTAAACAGACCGAAAGTGACAGTAAAGACATTTATAATAAAATATATTTGTTTTACAGAAATGTTCTTTTCTGCTGTTATTTTGAATTTTCTATTCATCAAAGGATTGTAAAAAAATTCTGAAGATTTCTGAAGGATCGTGTGACACTGAAGACTGGAGTAATGATGTTGAAAATTCAGCTTTGCATCACAGAAATAAAATACATTTTAACATATATTCACATTGAAAACACTTATTTGAAATTGTAATAATATTTCACAATTTTACCGTTTTTTTACTGTATTTTGATCAAATAAATGCAGCCTTGGTAAGCAGAAGAGCTCAAACTATGAAAAATAAAAGCATGAGGTGATGATGATAGAGCTTTAATTTGAGTGAACTATTCCTTTAAAGTTTAATGTCAATATCTTTTGCTCTACGTCCAATAATCTCTCTTTTTTCACACACACACACACACACACACACACACACACACACATCAAACATGTTGAATTCAATACTGAGTGTATTCCTGGTTAATCACTTCAGTCAGTCAGCGTAAACTGTGTTGTAGCTGCAGGCAGAGAGTTGAGCTGCATCTCTCTCTCTCTCTCTCTCTCTCTCTCTCTCTCTCTCTCTCTCTCTCTCTGAGGAAGATAGTTAGTCAGTAATCAATGCAAACACTACCTCACCAATCAATGCATTCAAAGAAAACAAATAAACAAAAACAAATCATTCAGTCCTACATCACTACTTCTGAAACAAAAACAGGCCAAACAAACCACATTTTTTTAGTGCTTTTGTTTCTGTTTATTATGCAGACTCCTATTTACAGTACTTAAAAAAAATCTTTGCTGTGCACCAGGAATATTGTCATCTCTTATGACAAATTTCTTGTGATGTTCTCTTATTTGTAAGGCGCTTTGGATAAAAGCATCTGCTAAATGAATGAATGCAAATGTCACTTCTTAAAGGGATAGTTCACTCAAAAATGAAACTTCTCTCATCATTTTCTCACTCTCGTGCCATCCCAGATGACTTTCTTTCTTCAGATGAATACAACTGAAGATTTTTAGAAGAAAAAAAAGAAGAATCAATCCATATAAGAGAAGTGAAATGAAGTGAGTTACTCCTTTAACTGTTGTAAAATCTCTTGAATACACAGCTTATTGCTTTAATAAAATACAGCAACTGAAAAATGATAAAAGATGCAGTGTTCAGTAAACAAATGCATGAAATTAACTTTTTTTTTTTTTAGAATAAACGATTTTTCTGCCAAGTTCTTCATTAGCCCATCTGAAGACTGTTTACAGTTTCTAAACAACTTCCAGACTTTAATGCATGGTGCGTTTATCAAAAGTTCTAAGCACAGATCATCTAATTAAGTAATTAGTGAATTTCTCAGAACTATAGATGTTTATTCACAATCAAATATGCTTTGTGTTATTTGTAGCCAAACCCTTGTGAAAAATAACCATAAAGTAATTCATATCCAGCAGACTGTCATCGTCACTCTTTTAAATGTATTTTTAGTTCATCAAATAAAGAGAGATGAGGGGAGATGTCAAAACCACATGAAGAGCTTATGTGACGTGGCATCTGATCGGCAGATGGTTGTGAGACACATGAGAACATCCATAGATGGGAACAGCTGCCGTCCACCAAATTCAGCCCAAATCCGTTTAGAGACAACAGCTCAAATGATCTCAAACAAACATGGCCTAACTCCATATAGATTACACTCAGATTGCTCAGACAGGAGAGAAAGAGATCAGGCAACGAGCACATGTGCATTTTAGATGTTGTATTAAAACAATATTTTTGGAGCACCACTTTAAAAATGCAACCATAATTGCAGCCATGGGAATAATAAAGACAAAATACGGCTGGATAAAATGACTCGAGTTGTAATATTCTAGAACCTTTTGAGAAGAAAAGAAAAAAAATCATTATGCAGAATATATGAAAATGTTCACAGTGATTCACTTTTCTTGTTCGCAAGACAAGAAAGTATTCCTTTTCACTCTTTTCTATCTGAATGTCTCTCTCAGGATATCACATCCACTGTAAACCAGAGCAGCATAACAGTAGACAAACAGTTTCTCGCTGAGTGTGAGCTGTCAGATCATTTGAGGTAAGCAACGCATTGTTTAATATTTCACAGATTTGAGTAAAAC